ATAAAAGAAATATTCTTCTGATCAAAATTTATCCAAATCGAAAGGGGTTGATTCCAACCATTGGTCGATTTGACGTGGAATGACCCATAATATTATATTGAAAAACAAAAAAATTATCATTCAGTTATATAAATATCCATAACAAATAATTATCTTAAATTAAAACATAAAATCAATAAATATTAGTGTAAATATGTTAAAAATATTAGATTTAATAATAATTTATTGTTTATATAATGGAAAATGTAAATTGATAATTTAACCGATTAACCATTTAACCGGTTAATCAATTAACCGTTTAACTAATTTAACCAGTTAACTAGTTAATCGGTTAAATTGGTTTAACCGGTTAATTTGGATTAACCAGCTGGCCAATGAACTAAATAACCTGGTTAAATTTTCTGGCCGGTTAAGCCGGCCAAATTGTACAGCACTAGTTTCAATATAAAAATATGGTAAATTCATAAATTGTATAGATTTCTGTTATAAATGAATAGATAAAATTTCTTCAATATTAATTAACATTCTCTAATGAATTCGTAAAATTTCAAAATCACATGAAGCTTTTATGGTTAAGAAAAAAGGCCCCTCTTGGCCTGGCAAAAAGGTTGCTGGAATAATATGATAATTGCCTGCCGGTACATCTTCAAGCTCTAAACTCACGAACCCAGATCTGAAATTAAATATTAATATTTTCCATTTTGTTTATTGTTGTGTAATCATTAATAATATAAGAAAAATAATAACGTGTGTAAAACTGCCATTGACACAGTTTAACATTGGCATCAGTATTTTAAAAGCTGTTCTAGCAACAGAATTGATTTGTCGTGCTAAATTTATTACTGTAATCAGGATTTTGTTGCTTGTTTAGTTTTCGAATAATCGTTGATAATCTCAGACAATGTTAAATTGAATGAATGCTAGCTTTACAGACGTAAAATAATTATAAAATAATCTAATAATGGTAATTAGTATTTCTTAACCTGAATGGTCCTGAAGTCTTGTTTTGAAAAGTGGACGGCGTATTTGTATTATTCATAGATATTATTTCAAAACCAATTTGATATTGTTTTGGTCCTTTTAAAATTATCAAGAGGTAATTATTATTGTGAGTACTTTCTAAATTAATCTGATAACGCGGATTATCTTGGTAAGTGCCTGGATGATTACCGCATCCTCCAGCAGTTTTGTCTTCCATTTTCCATTGACCATCTTTGATCTGAAGCAGGTATTAGCTAATATTAATTACACGAAATATTAAGTGAAGCAATAGAAGAAAAAAAAAAAAATACCTCTTTTTCAAATTTGTACGGCTCAGACATTTTTTTTAAAGAAAACGGACATGTTCCATATGCTCTTAGAGTGTAGTAAATTGTATTCATTTTTTCATATTGAGAAACAACAAGAGTGTACTTAGATTCACTCTCAGGATTCAATTTAATCTTTGTCAAATAATGTGGACTGTTTATTCTTACTCCGTCAATATACGGCGGTGGATCATGAGGATAAAACACTCTTTTTCCATTATTTTTATAGACTAAAACAGTGATGTATTCTTGATTTTGTCGAAAGTCTGCTATATCGGTAATATGCCTAGTTAACAATATCCATATAGCACCTGAAATATTTTGTTGTTGAACTTCCAATGAGAATTGAGGATTGTCTGATATATTATAAGCATCTTTGATAGGTCCTACTCCTGCCTTCCACATTTGATGAATACAGTAAGTATATTTGAAAAGTTTTGGATTCCAATTAAGATAAAAGACATCGAAAAAGCGACAAATACTTTCGTAGTCAATCCAAAAAATACCATTATCATATTGAGATGCTGATTCGGGATCGTAATTAAGAGTTCGTTTGAGCTGTGGTGTCCAGTGATGAATATCATGCTCGGAAAAATTTCCGCGCCATCGTAAATGTGACCAAGGATTTTTCAGCTGCAAAAGTCTTTTCCCGTCAACAAGTCGAATATCTAAAACAGCATAAGCATGCGTAGGAACTAGACCGGCTTTGTCAGATACTGAATCAGACAATTCACCAGTAGCAACAGTCGCAAGAACACTTCCATTATGAAGACGTTCTAGGAGAATTTTAAATAACCCATCGACATTGAAATCTGGTTCATTAACTCTAATTGCCCATCTTTCTGGTATCCATCCTGTAAGGGCGTGAAGATCAATGTTACTGTTTGACCCCGGAAAATCATAACCACCCATAACTTTCATATATGCTTTTTCCAATAAAGAAATCCAGATTTCACCACGATTGCTTGAATATGAACATAATAACTGATCGTCACTGCCAACCGGTAATAAATCATCGATTACAACTTTTCTTGGTATTCCGTTTATATGAAGTTTAACCATGTACTTTCCATACGGATTGTAAAGAGGAGCTTTATTAGAATTCTGAGGGTAGATAATAGATGTAATAAGACGGTTACCAAATTTCTTCTCATACTGAGCACTAACGGCAAGAGATGCTACAAAAGAACAATCAGAAACAACCGTCTGTTTAATACTAAAGTAATCGACGTGATTGTTCATTAGCATTTTTGGCTCAGAAAAAATATCACTTGGTCTCGCCCACTTAGCGAAACTATTTTTTTGTTTTGGCGCAAGCTCTAATAGACCATCTTTGTCCACGAATACCGTAGAAAATTTAAATTTTTCTGCAAGATCGACGCTCATAAATGGGACGAATTCATTGTCATTTATGTGAGATGTAGTTAACAATACTTTCTTTTCTTCCTCTGTGTAATTGCCACTACCTCCCGTAACCTTGAGATGAGCACTGCTTCCCCGGTGAAGTGAGGGCTTCCGAGATCTTTCGGGTGAAGTATTGCCTGGTAAACAAGTTAACTGATTTTTAAAATAATTTTAAGGTTAAAATAAGTCTTTTAATAGCGATTTACCAAAAGAAGGCGAACTATTAACAGAAGTTGTTGGAGAAGCTGGAATCGTTTCAGGAACAGGAGGTAAATTTTGAAGTAGAGGCAAAGGATCGAATATTTTATTCCTGTCGATTCCTTCCAATTCTTCGGCCCTGATTACGGCTCGCTGAGTTAAGTTTGTCAGTTTTCCCTTCACACTTTCATTGTCGATTTGCTTCTTCTACATAATAGTTTTAAATACAATATATCAAAACTAAAAATTTATTACATAATTAAAATACACTTACGATATCTAGACCAAGTTCAGCGGCATCCGCATAAAGCATCACTGCTATATTTTTCCATCCCCATTCATCAGCATTCATAGCTTCTTTAAAAAGAAATTTAACTTTCTGTAATCCTTCCTCTGATTCCGATGCATTTTTTTTACCATCGTTGACTTATTTAAAATGAAAATAATAAAGAGAGTAACGATAATTATAATTACTAGTTAATTACCATTAGGATTAATAATTTTTAATTGGATGATTTCTAAACTTTTGTTGGGGATTAGATTAACAGAAAGTAAAATATTCCCTTGGTGTTAATAAGGTTTTATTATATGTAACAAATACAAAAATCGAATGAAGAATTTTTTTGTGAAAAGCTCAATCAAGAGCAAAAATCTATATATTCTTCTGTTTTGTTTATAAATTTTTCATCACGTTTTTCTAATGCAACAATTTAACTGAAGTTTATTGTACTTAACGTTGTTACCTAAGTCCAATAAATGATCCATTGTAACAAAATCTCAATTACTTTAAAACATATACTTTCTTGAAAATATTCATACAACAATATCTTATGTTAAAATGCGTTTGAAGATATGAAAATAGCTGTCCATAGTTACAGTAAGGATAATTGTTTATAGTAACTGTTGAAATGGAGACTGATGTCAAGTAAAATAGGCAAAAAAAATCGACTACTATCCTTTTCAAAAAGCACCTATATCAAAAATATTGTTTAAGATTAAAAATAAAAATATTGTGAGTGAGAATCTATACTAATATTATAAAGAGAGAAGACTTGATTGTTTGTTTGTTTGCATTAAATAGGCTCCGAAACTACTAAACCGATTTGAAAAATTCTTTCACTGTTGGGAAGCTACACTATCCCCGGGTGACATAGGCTATATTATATTATAATTAATTTTGAAAGTTTTGTTAAATACCCATGCAAAGCCGGGGCAGACTGCTAGTACTTAATAAAAATGTTGTGTACAAATATGGAGGAAGTTAATCACTGCATTTTTATCTGTTTGTTTTTGAAAACATGTTCATTCTTCAAGGCTTTCCGACAATTAAATTAAAGAAATTAAGAGCCATATATTTAAAAAGAAATTAAATTTTCTTCAAAAAAATCTATTATTTACAATTTTACGTTAATCGAATCTTTGTTATGATCCTCTAGCGGTTTTGTAAATGCCGAAAAAATGTTGCAGTTATATAGTATTAATGCCGTATTTTTTCAGCATTTTTTCGGTTGTTTTGGTCAGTTTTTTCATCGAAATATTACGGAACATTTACGGTAAAAATTCGAAATATTTACGCTAAAAATGCGGCATATTTATGGTAATAAGGCGGTAAAAAATGTATTAAAACCATATTTAAAAAATGGTGTATTACGGTAAAATGGTGAAAAATTACGGTATTTTTACGGCATTCTTAAAACCGCGAGGGGATATTAGTTTATAAACATTAATCTGTTTCTGTTAATTTATCTTACAACTCCGGTATTTTTATAGTTACTTAACGAATTAATGTCTAGAAAAAAAAAGCAAATAATTTTAAAACTTTTTTGAAGGAATTAAAAAAATTATTTAAATCAAAAAGTCAAAAATATATAATTTCCCTACTTTTAATTTTTTTTTTTTATGAAAGAAAGTATAACATTACATTACTAATAAAATTAAGGAAACAAAAAAGTTCTTACATTTTTTCAGGGCGATTTTTTTTTCTTGAAAGCCTTTTGTTCCTACAAATGTATGTGCGTGTGCGAGTATGACGTGTATTTTGAAATAACTTTTTAACTGCTCGGCTGAACGATTTAAAAATTTTAAATAACCATTGTATAAACAGATAGATTTATTGTAATTAAATTTCTTTTTGCGTTTACAACAATGCATTCTTTGATTCAGTTAATTTGTTGAAAGTCTCATGATTTTTGGTCGACTAATTTTTGAAATTCAATTACTTTTTTTTATTAATAAGAGAAATCATACACAGTAAATAATTGGGTTTTGAAGTAATTTTAAACCTGATTGTAAAGAAAAATTGTACTGAAAGAGTTTCTAAAAATGTCCTAGTTCATTTTCTTGTATTATTACTTCTGTTATAAGTAAGTAAATAATACATTTTTCAAAAATCGTCAGACGTTTGCTGCAATGATGTTCATTTATTATCAGTTACGAGTGCGAAAGTACACCCCCACTCATTTAGCCCCTCATTATTAATTAATGTTATTTTTTTTTTATCTTAATCGTTTGATGGCCATTTGATAGTATATGATCGAATATTAAAATCATTTGATGGTCATTAGTTTATTTATAAAAAAATTTTTTTTAAATGAGCCAAAAAAATTTTTTTTTGGCCCCTCGATTATGAAATTGTCGAACTTTTTTTTTTTTAATCAACTTAAAAACGTTTGATGGTTATTGATAGACAATTAGTTTTATTCAAATAGCAATATTTAATTAATTATTAATAATTAACTTTATTCCACGACCCACGGCGTAATCATCTTGATGAGATTCCTATCATCGCTGCAAGAGGTATCTATTTTAGCGCGGTTTTTTTCAAATTTTTGTTGGCTTAGAAATAATAATGATAATAATAACAACAACAACAACAACAACAACAACAAAAAAAATTAAAATAAATACGTCTATATATATAAATAAATATCTGATTAGATTCTTAAGTACAAGAAGGTCCTGGGTTAACGTCCCGTTTGCGAATTGGCCAGATTTTTTAAAAACTGGTTTCCCAGATACTAAAGTTAATTTTAAAAATAAAATAAAGAAAATTATTTAAGTATAAATAAATGTACCTCCTATCTCTTGAGCGTTCATTCTCACTTATAATTACCTTCACGCTGACATAAATAAAGAAACGACATCGAGTGAGATAACGCGTGTTAAGATATTCGTTGTGTGGGCCTTTGGGTTTCAACTCAACTCTTGTATTCATACAATATTGTAAGTATGTATTATATTGCTGGATATAATACAAAACTATTCGTACATATAATACATAAATGAGATAGGAGCCAGTTTAGTGTCTATACACTGATAGAAGGATTTGTTTATTTTCAATAAGCTTTATTAATTGTTAATAAATAATTTTTTAACATTATAGGATTCAATAAATATTTATTAATAATTAATATAATTATTTATTAAATACGATTTATTAAATGTTAATAATTATTTGTTAATTTATTAAAATATTTATTGATGGTTAATGAATATTTGTTAATTGTTAATAAATATTTATTTAAAATAAAAAGCAAAAATAGCAATTTTCTTTTGACACTTTTTATAACTCTACAGCTGGAATATATGATAATAATTAAATTCACTAAATAAATTAACCTTTTTAATATTTAAAAATATAAAAGATAATTATGAGCTGTGATAAAATTTAGTATTTTACAATAAACGTTATTATAATGTAATATAATTAATGCAAATAATTTATGAAGATAATTTTTGTTGAAAATATTTATTGAATGTTAAAAAATATTTATTAAAATTTTAAAAATTAAATAATTGTCTTCAAATAAATTCAATTATTAATAGTTAATAAATTAACTCCTCTATCAATGTACTGAAGAAAGAGCTCGAGTGAAAGAGAGAGCAGAGAATCGGTTATTAGCACCTGAAATAAAATAAATGTTTAACCATTTATATACATGTATTGACCACCATTGTAAAATAAGTAATTTCCTGCAGAGCTCGTGTCCAAGTTAAGTGTGATCGGTACAAACTCACACCTTGGGTATTTATAAATATAAACAGACATTAAATGCCTGAAGAGATATAATATCAACGCTGTAATGATAATGAAAATAAATAATTGTAATAAATAAATCGTTAAATTTAAAAGGCTTTTTTTGGGCTAATCGATAGGACCAGATATACCGAGAATATTCTTGACTCCTATCCCATCGATGCCGTGGACGTTAAAAGCGTCGTAAAAGTTAATCGAGTAAGCGGTTTTTGCCGAGTGTAGTGTAGTGAGGCACACCTGGATCTTCTCTTCTCTCCCTAGGCTGGATTTGTCGCGTTTTCAATACACAGCCACAAAACACCTTTCGTCTTTGTCTTTTCCTCTTTCTCTCTTGCTCCAAAAAATTAAATATAAAGATAGAAGTAAATTTTCATTAATATTTTTATTGATTAACATGTCAAATGAGATCAAATAATATTGTATCATTTTTTTTCATTCAATATATATAATTGCACGCTAAAATAATATAAAATGGGTATCAAATATTCAAGAGAAAAATTTTTTCAAGGTGAGAAAATTTTTTTCTCAGCTGAAATAAGTGACGCTACTTCCCTAAAGTATCTAAAAATCTTGATCAAATATTAAAATTTAAGTTTTAATTTTTAAAAAAATTTCAAGATTAATTTTATAAATTATTTTTTGATTTAAAATTTTTATGAGTGATGAGTAGTCATTTTTTTAAATTATAAATTTTTATAGTCCGTAAATGAACCATGTATTATTAAATTTAAATTTAATGATGTTTAAAGTGGTGAAAATCAACCGTACACTCTTAATCATTTTAGTAGTAGGTCTTTAGCTTTAAATATCTATTATAAAAAAAAAAAATTTAGGTATGTATAAACCTAAATGATGAAGATCGATTAATCATTTGTGCAAATGACAATCAGCTCATTACGAATAATATGTCGTCGACTGAGGATGGAACGATAAATCACCTCACGACGGGATATTCTTGTTGTATAGTTGTCGCAGTTTTAAAATATATCGTTAACGAGATCGATAAAGAGATGGCTTTTAGATATGATCTGTACCAGTAGCTAAATTTTTTAACGATTTAAACGAGCATTCCGTGACGAGGATGATGATGATGATGATGATGGTTTAAGAAATAAATAAAAAATAAACTCTAAGACTTAAGAGTTAGCCGTCAGGCGAATACAAGAAGAGAAGAAGAAAGGATCCAGAATAAGGATAACAAGAGAAAGAAAGAGGAAAAGACAAAGACGAAAGGTGTTTTGTGGCTGTGTATTGAAAACGCGACAAATCCAGCCTAGGGAGAGAAGAGAAGATCCAGGTGTGCCTCACTACACTACACTCGGCAAAAACCGCTTACTCGATTAACTTTTACGACGCTTTTAACGTCCACGGCATCGATGGGATAGGAGTCAAGAATATTCTCGGTATATCTGGTCCTATCGATTAGCCCAAAAAAAGCCTTTTAAATTTAACGATTTATTTATTACAATTATTTATTTTCATTATCATTACAGCGTTGATATTATATCTCTTCAGGCATTTAATGTCTGTTTATATTTATAAATACCCAAGGTGTGAGTTTGTACCGATCACACTTAACTTGGACACGAGCTCTGCAGGAAATTACTTATTTTACAATGGTGGTCAATACATGTATATAAATGGTTAAACATTTATTTTATTTCAGGTGCTAATAACCGATTCTCTGCTCTCTCTTTCACTCGAGCTCTTTCTTCAGTACATTGATAGAGGAGTTAATTTATTAACTATTAATAATTGAATTTATTTGAAGACAATTATTTAATTTTTAAAATTTTAATAAATATTTTTTAACATTCAATAAATATTTTCAACAAAAATTATCTTCATAAATTATTTGCATTAATTATATTACATTATAATAACGTTTATTGTAAAATACTAAATTTTATCACAGCTCATAATTATCTTTTATATTTTTAAATATTAAAAAGGTTAATTTATTTAGTGAATTTAATTATTATCATATATTCCAGCTGTAGAGTTATAAAAAGTGTCAAAAGAAAATTGCTATTTTTGCTTTTTATTTTAAATAAATATTTATTAACAATTAACAAATATTCATTAACCATCAATAAATATTTTAATAAATTAACAAATAATTATTAACATTTAATAAATCGTATTTAATAAATAATTATATTAATTATTAATAAATATTTATTGAATCCTATAATGTTAAAAAATTATTTATTAACAATTAATAAAGCTTATTGAAAATAAACAAATCCTTCTATCAGTGTATAGACACTAAACTGGCTCCTATCTCATTTATGTATTATATGTACGAATAGTTTTGTATTATATCCAGCAATATAATACATACTTACAATATTGTATGAATACAAGAGTTGAGTTGAAACCCAAAGGCCCACACAACGAATATCTTAACACGCGTTATCTCACTCGATGTCGTTTCTTTATTTATGTCAGCGTGAAGGTAATTATAAGTGAGAATGAACGCTCAAGAGATAGGAGGTACATTTATTTATACTTAAATAATTTTCTTTATTTTATTTTTAAAATTAACTTTAGTATCTGGGAAACCAGTTTTTAAAAAATCTGGCCAATTCGCAAACGGGACGTTAACCCAGGACCTTCTTGTACTTAAGAATCTAATCAGATATTTATTTATATATATAGACGTTGTTGTTGTTGTTGTTGTTGTCGTTGTTGTTGTTGTTGTTGTTGTTATTTCTAAGCCAATAAAAATTTGAAAAAAACCGCGCTAAAATAGATACCTCTTGCGGCGATGATAGGAATCTCATCAAGATGATTACGCCGTGGGTCGTGGAATAAAGTTAATTATTAATAATTAATTAAATATTGCTATTTGAATAAAACTAATTGTCTATCAATAACCATCAAACGTTTTTAAGTTGATTAAAAAAAAAAAAGTTCGACAATTTCATAATCGAGGGGCCAAAAAAAAATTTTTTTGGCTCATTTAAAAAAAATTTTTTTATAAATAAACTAATGACCATCAAATGATTTTAATATTCGATCATATACTATCAAATGGCCATCAAACGATTAAGATAAAAAAAAATAACATTAATTAATAATGAGGGGCTAAATGAGTGGGGGTGAAAGTACTATTATTAATTTAAAGTTGACACAAAAATAAATTACACGAAAAAACTGACATATGGCTCTCTATGGGAAGATAATGAAAAGAAAATTTGAAATTAAAAAAAAAAAAAAAAATCAAGATTTAATTTTAAATTCCACCGAAGTCAAATCAACGAGATGAAAAGTCGTCAAGAAGTAAAATTACGTTTAGTTTACATTTGATGAATTAAATTTATACTTACCAAGTGCTTTTAAAACTTTGATTCTATCTTGATATTCATTTAGCTTTGAGGACACATTAGTGTGTGTGAGTAACTTATGGAGAAATTTAATAGTAACCTCATACCAACACAAAGCCTTTTCAAATTGTTTTTCACTATCATATTTTATTGCTTTGGAAGCAGCCTTTTTAGCATCTTCGAAATTAGGATCCATTAATAATTTATAATTAAAATATTCATCCAGTAAATACTGAAAAAAAAATTATTTATTCATTGACAATTAAAAAAAAAAAAAAACTATTTGTATACACTGATGATTTACAAACACTTAATAAAACTAACCTTTGAGTTACAATTTACAAATGAAAATTTTATAACAGACGATAATTAATAATGTTGTCGGAGACATTTATTAGTAATGAGGTTAACAAACATTTTTTTTTTTTCTAAATAATGTTTTTATTTTTTTTTTCAAATCTTACCTTTTGATATAAGTAACTTTTAATAAATTAATAAGTATGAATTTGGTCGATATATGACAATTGAAAACTGTAACAATCGATGTAAATAATTATCATTCTTCTACGAAAGAAACCAAGAAACTGTTATGTCTGTATATTATATACTATGCGTGACATTAATTTATCCCTGTTCGTGTTGCTTTTGTATTATTGAAAATGTGTATTTTTGGACATTTGAATAAATGGATATGGAAATTTTTAAAAATGGATATTTGATTTTTTGGAAATAATAATAAAAGTACTCAAGTAAAATTAGACATTAATATAAATGGACATTAATAAAAAAGGAAATAATTATAAATGTACAACTGCACTTATGGCCAACTTAAAAAAATGAAATCCCTATTTTTGAAAATATCTCCAAATGGAAATAATGTTATGCTTCCATCTAGTGGATATTATTTTTATTTATTTAAAACTTTACTTACTGTAGTTCTTTCGCCCGGGAGTATTAAAATACTCGGTTTCAGCGCGGAAAAGGAATTATTTTAAATAATTGAATTCTATTTAGACGTTATTTAATTTTGATCAAAATTATTTAGTTGGTTTCAATTTATTATTCAAGTTGACAAAATATTAAAAGCTTCAAAATATAAAATTGAGGTTTACAATGACGTGATCTTAGCAATCTAAACTCTCGATGAGAAGTGACATTACATAGTTTTTCCGAATAGCCCCAAACTCCGCTCCTCTCCCACCATAACTTCCATACATACATCCACTCTAAGGAATACATAAATATATACATTTTCTACCACATATAAATGATCCTTATACACTAACATGTATTTTCTCTATAGCTATATATATTTATTTCAGCCTATCGGCCTGAAAGTTGGACTTCACTAATATACACTTTTAGCAATACAGTTATTATATTTATTTAACTATTTTTATTAATTTAACAAACCCTTTAAAAATCTATTTATAATAAAATTAACTTATAATTAACTTGAAATTAAATTACAATAAATTAATAGTAAATTAGTTAAGTAATAATTATTAATTATAAATTAAATATAAGATAATAATTATTAATTATTTTAACTCAATTTTGCTTAACTACAATATTATATAAAGTTAGATTTTAACAGTAAAAATGTTATTTAACAATATTATTTTTGTTTAGTTAGATATGGTTTTTTATTATTCTTCGTTACTTTAGTACAAGGGTCTATTGAGTTTCACACGTGTCTTTTACGATTTTTCCTCATAAGGTTTTAAGTTTCATGTGGCGAGAAATAGTCCTTGAATTACTCAAATACCTTTTATGGGGTCTGAAAATTCGGTTACAATGTCCCTTTGTACCGAAATATGTTTTTTCTTATTTTATTTTATTTTCCTTTGTAAATAAAACAGAGTTAACTAAAAGATGTTTATTTTACAACTGGTAAGAGTAAAACATTAAATAAATGACTTGAATATTTACTTCGAATATAAAATTGAACTAATTTTAATCATTTAATATTTACTAATTTGAATATTTCGTTTGAATTCGCGCTCTCATAATAGATAGCGCTCTAATAACAGGTAGCGTCATCTGCTGGATGCACTAGGTGCATCACAATAAAAGTATTAGGTAAAGAGTTCAAATGAACAAATGGATTAATGGACATTTTCTTAGATAAACATTTATGAAAATGGATAATAATATAAAAAGACATCAGTAAAAATGGTTAAAAATACAAATGTACAATTGAATAAAAGGAATAGTCACTTAATGTACATATGATTTTATGAACATATGATTTATGTTGTGATGCACCCAGTGCATCCAACAGGTGACGCTACCTGTTATTAGAGCGCTATCTATTATGAGAGCGCGAATTCAAACGAAATATTCAAACTAGTAAATATTAAATGATTAAAATTAGTTAAATTTTATATTCGAAGTAAATATTCCAGTCCTTTATTTAATGCTTTTACTCTTACCAGTTGTAAAATAAACATCTTTTGGTTAACTCTGTTTTATTTACAAAAGAAAAAAAAATAAAATAAAAAAAAAACATATTTCGGTACAAAGGTACATTGTAACCGAATTTTCAAAACCCATAAAAAGTACTTGAGTAATTCAAGGACTCTCGCCAGATGAAACTTAAAACCCTATGAGGAAAAGTCGTAAAAGACACGTGTGAAATTCAATAGACCCTTGTTCTAAAGTAACAAAGAATAAAAAAAAAAAACATATGTAACTAAACAAAAATAATATTGTTAAATAACATTTACTGTTAAAATCTAACTTTATATAATATTGTAGTTAAGCAAAATTGAGTTAAAATAATTAATAATTAGTATCTTATATTTAATTTATAACTAATAATTATTAGTTAACTAATTTACTATTAAATCATTATCTAATTATTATTTAATTTATAATTAAATAATAATATCTATTCTTTTATACAGGATAATAATTAAACTGACTTATAATTTTATTAGAAAACTCGAATGTAAAATGATAGAAATAATATTTAATCCAAATTATTAATTATTCAAACTCAAACATTAGTCCAACATATTATAAATAATATAATATATATAGTTTCATGTTATAGTTTATTATAATTTTATTGTAACTTAATTTCAAGTTAATTATAAGTTAATTTTATTATAAATAGATTTTAAAAAGGGTTTGTTAAATTAATAAGAATAGTTGAATAAACATAATGACTGTATTGCTAAAAGTATATATAAGTGAAGTCCAACTTTCAGGCCGATAGGCTGAAGTAAATATATATAGATATAGAGAAAATACATGTTAGTGTATAAGGATCATTATACATTATTCCTTAGAGTGGATGTATGTGTGGAAGTTATGGTGGGAGAAGAACGGAGTTTGAAGATCTTCGGAAAAACTATGTAACGACACTTCTCATCGAGAGATTAGATTGCTAAGATCACGTCATTGTAAACCTCAATTTTATATTTTCAAGCTTTTAATATCTTGTCAACTTGAATAATAAATTAAAAAGAACTAAATAATTTTGATCAAAATTAAACTACGTCTAAATAGAATTCTTTTATTTAAAATTATTCCTTTCCCGCACTGAAACCGAGTATTTTAATACTCCCGGGCGAAAGAACTACAGTAAGTAAAGTTTTAAATAAATAAAAATAACATCCACTAGATGAAAGCATAACAGTATTATACGTATAGTATTTTACGTGCCCACCCCTGATCAGCCTGATCAGTAGTGACGCTTAGGTGTGACATTAGTAAATGGGCGTGTTCGACCAACAAAAATTTCTAATTTTGTACTTAATTTAGTAAGTTATTAAAGTTGTAAGTGTACGCATGTGTACTAACTCACAGTTACAACTTAGGTGAACCGAATGCATCCATTGCCGACGAATTAACAAATGTACTTAGTATACATAAAAGATTAGTATACATCAAAAACGGGACTTGGCGCCAAACTTTACCGGGTCTGTGGATTGGTGACGTTGCAATAAATTTAACATAACCTAACTATTCACATAATGAATAAAATTAGTAAATTATTTTTTTTTTTAAAGTTTATTTATTATTAACAAGATATTGATTGATTGTAATAATTTACAACTTTAATATCTTCAATAGACGAATGTATACATGTCTGAATATACGTTTATATTTATATTTCTGTATATTTTTATATTTATTAATGTTTAATTAGAAAATAACATTACATATATCTGAAGACAGAAATATACATGTATATACGTAAGTATATATATTTATATATTTGTACTGAATAGCAATATGACTGTGAATATACAGTTATTTCTTGTATGTAATTTAGGATTTTTTTTTATTCTATTGTAAAAAAATTTCTACTGTAGAAAAGATATTAGAAGTCTGCTGTTTGAGAAAGAAAGAAATGAATACATAAACTGTCTGCAGTGCGGCTGATAAACTATAAAAAGTCTGCTTTGCAACTAAGAAATAGATAGATTAAAAGTCTGCTGTGCGGCTAACAGATGAATATTTTAGCAGTCTGAGGTACGACAAAAAAATAAAGATATTTACAGTATGCTGTGCAGCTAAAGAACTATTAAGTCAGTTTTAAGACTAGAAAATAAAAATACTTAATCTTCTGTGCGGCTAATAAACTATTAAAACTCTGCTTTACGACTAGAAATAATAAAAATTGACAAGTCTGCTATGCGACTGAGCAATAAAAAAATTAACAGTCTGCTGTGCAGCTGAATAAATATAAAAAGTCTGCTGTGTGACCAAGACATAAATAAATTCATAAACTGCAGAGAAAATAATAAATTATTGAATGTCTACTTTGCAAAAAAAAAGATATTAACAGTCTACTGTGCGGCTGATGAACTATTCAATGTCTGCTTTGCGACAAACGAAAATTGACAAGTCTGCTGAGAAACTAATAATTAATACAATAAGAATCTGCTGTGAGGCTGATAAACTATTAAATGTCTATTTTGTGACAAAAAAAAATTTAGAAGGCTGCTGCGCGACTAAAATTAAATAAATTTACAGTCTGCTGTGCGGCTGAAAAATTATTAAATGCCTGCTTTGCGACAAAAAAAAAAATTGAGAGTCTGCTGTGCGATTCAGAATAGATAAATCTACAGTCTGCTGTGCGGCTGAAAAATTATTAAATGCCTGCTTTGCGACAAAAAAAAAAATTGAGAGTCTGCTGTGCGATTCAGAATAGATAAATCTACAGTCTGCTGTGCGGCTGAAAAATTATTAAATGCCTGCTTTGCGACAAAAAAAAAAATTGAGAGTCTGCTGTGCGATTCAGAATAGATAAATCTACAGTCTGCTGTGCGGCTGAAAAATTATTAAATGCCTGCTTTGCGACAAAAAAAAAAATTGAGAGTCTGTGTCAGGTTTAAGATCTTGAACAAACGGCAATTTTAAAACACTTTAAAGACGATTTTTTTTACACGGGTACTTTTTTAATAAAACATAATATTTTATAATTTAGCATTTTATTGTACTTTTTACCTTGTTTTACTAGTTTTATTCTTAAAATTAAAAAAATTTATAAAATTTTAATTAAAAAAAAAAAACATTTACTCAGAATCGATTATTTAAAAGAATCGATTCTTGAAATTGATTAATCGATTCTGAGAATCGAAATTTCTGAAAAAAGAATCGGAATCGAGAATCGATTCTTCAGCTTATGTTTCCATCACTTCTACAGCACTAGAGCGCATAATGCGGCATTGTGCGCAGCTTAGAGTGTTCCAATAACAGCAACTCTTCGCACAGTTGGACACTCAAAAAACCTTTGCTCAGGGATGTTTTGCGTGAGAGTTACCAACGAGTCTACATAAAATTAAAAGTATTTTTTTTTGTATTGAGTTGGTATAATTAATGTTTATTTTATTATCTATCAAAGTTATTATTTTTGACGATTGTAAGTGTATTTTATTATTGTTGATAAATAATTATTATTGCAATAAAATTAAATATATACAATAACACAAATTATATTTAACTATCATATTTTTATATCTAATATTTAATTATTGATGACTAACTTAAGCGAATTTATATTCTTTCTATTCTTTTATCTTTATAAAATGAAATCATTTTTTAGATTTTTATATTTGTAAGCATTGTCATGATATGATTTTGAATTAGCTGTTTAACATGAATGTTTTCAAAGATTTTAAAGATTTAAATATACAGGTAAACAAATATTTAGATTTTTAGATTGCCAAACTTTCGAATTTTTGTTCAAAACGAAGCAATACCAACGCGATCTACTGCTGCATTTCTTAACTAATCTGTTTCAATTAAACTTGTGCTAATGCGGCACCGTGCGGCAATGAGTCGCACTGTGCTCTCGTAATTGGAAAACTACCTTAATGTCACGCATAGTAAGTACATACTCGGTATGTTTGTGTATATATGTTTAAGGTGATGTCACTGGTAAATTGAGCGGTGACTTCAAATTTGTATCAAAGGATAGGCAGTTCTCAATATGTTTTCAGAAATTGTATTTTTCTAATAACGTTACGAATAAATATGAGAATCAAATAAAATGAAGTTTCTAAAAAAAATTATATAACTAATCATTGCGAACGCTTTATAATAATCCAAGATAAAATTTTCTCTATAAAGTAATGAGAAAAATAAAATCAAGACTTCTTAATTTTTTTATCACTTGCAAATTTTATTAATGATTCAAAATCGGATTTTGTTTTTTGAATATTATTAAAATAATTCTATGATTTTTCGATGCAAATTTTTTTTGTCAGACATGTAGAATGAATATGACTTAACAGCCGGTCCCTACGATTGCAGTTTTATATTTCTTTCCTAGACAAAGAAGAATTTTGAAAAAAACGCTCTGCTATGTAATAGTTTCACTATGAAAATTAATTATTATTCAAAATAAATTTAACAATTGGCCTATCATTCAAATTTAAGTATTCTCTATACTTTATGAAAAATTTCATCTCGATTGGAAGTGTAGTTATAATTAATTAAAACGTATTAAAGATTATAAACTCTATAGATTTATATATTAATTAATTAATTATTATTATATATATGGGGTATTTCATACCAAATCGACCACTTTTAAACCCGACCCCTTTCGATGGGGCCCGAAGTTTTTCATTTTTTTCTACCCTTTGAGAAACGTTTTTGAGAATCTGTTCAAATTTTTTTTATCCAACCCAAAAAAAGTTATGAATTTTTCAAAAATATAACTTTTTCAAAAATTGATTTTTAGGTATCTTTTTTTTTTTTTAATTTTTGTTCTTAAATGAATTTTTCGAAAAAATAGACAAAAAAAATTTAATATGATCAACTCTATGAAATTATCGCTTTTTTTTTTTTTTTTTTTTAATAAAACGTTATTTTTTCGAAGTTCGCCAATTTTTATTTTTTTTTCTCAAAAAAAAAACCCCCAATTAATGATACAATTATTTCCGTCAATCTCGGAGTGGGCCGATTATTTTTATTTAATTGAAAAAAAATGGTCTAATTTTAAAAAATGAAAATTTTTTTTTTCACCAACTTTATTTATATAATAAAGTTAATAAAATAAATGAAAAATTACCTAACTCACTGTAGACAAATTCATAAAAATTATAAATGTTTTGTAGATCATCAGACAATTGAGTCGGAAAACGGTAGGTTCAACAGGCTAGTCCAGAAATTTTAATCTCTTGAAATTATACACCTATTAATGATTTGCTGAGCTTGAAAAATTAAAAAAAAAATTTTGGAACTACAAAATCTTTTCAACGAGTCGTTTGATTTTGATGCGATCTAATCAGTTCCAAGTCTCAATAAATGTTTGGGAATGTCACGAACTACATCTCGATTAATTAATTTGTTCTAAAGATATTTTATGACCAAAAAAGGCAGATACAAAGACGACCTGCTAATACTCGGAACAGCTTCTTGTGAATTCGAAGCTTGACAATTTACAGATCTGAAAGTAGGAACTTGAAAAAAAGGTCATAATTAATTATAAACTCAATTGAATCAAATAAAAATTGTTAACTCAAAATTTATGGAAATCTTAAGTCATTTCATTGATTAAAAATTTCAGAGGAAAAATTAACTGCTCACTTTCATTAGCTTAAGTTCCAACTATCGTATCCAAATATTTAGTGGTAGTAAGTGTATGAGACTTTGATTTTTGTATCCTCAGCACCAAATTTTGCATTTCTTCCGCAAATTTCTTGCTCATGTCCTTACTTCATCGAGGTAGAGAGAGGTATCCTGAGATTTCTTCACGGCCATACTAAACGTTCTATGACCTAAAAGATTTATTAATCCTCAGCCGTCATATGTTGTCGATCATGAACGGCATTGGACAAGATCAAAGCAGTTAATGATCCATTATGTATTTAATAAGAAAATCAGGGAGTATTTAACGATAGATGTTTGATAAATTAAAAATTAATTAAAGGGAATTTTGGAAAAAAAAATTAATAATAATTGAGTAAAAAAGGATCTTGAATATGTTTTTTTAAAGTTAGATTTATTATTTGCTTTTATGATAACAATAAAATTACACAGTGAAATAAAACAAAAAAAATGTTATTTGAAAATATTTTTAGGTTTTTCTTAAGAACTGTCGGCCTAGAATGATTAATAATTATATGAGTTTAAAGTATTTCATCGATCAAAATAAATCAATTTTATACCTTCCATTGTCTTTCTTTGAATACAATAAAATGGCAGTTTTAAGAAAGTTATAATTTGAATTATGAAATACGTTCCATTTATTTCGTGCATTTTCATATATCTAATAAAAAATGCTTTATGAAAATTGCATTAACATATATATGTATATATATGAAATATTTATATCATTATTTTTGTATACATTCTTTTTACATTTACTCAGATTTTCTTCTTCCGCTCTCATTCGCTTCAATATTGCTCTTCCATTCATTCATGAAACATAAAAAAAAAGATTGAACAATGCATAGATGAACTAAATGCGCAGCCATCACCTCGATGAAATTATATTATTATATTTGACATTATGTATTATAAAAGGCCACAAGTGTATTTAATATAAAATTATGAGTTATTGCGATTTTAGAATACTCAAGTATTTTCAATAAATGCCACCAGGGCTATATTGGAAAATTTCATCTCGTAAAAGTAAGTATTTGTTAGTATATGATGCCGTTTAATATTTATATATATATATAAATTATGAGTTTTACTTTTGATATTTGCAATAGTTCTATATCTTTTTATTTTTGAGAAATTTTAATCTAAACCCTTTTTTATTTTTCATTTGAAAAACTATATTACAAATATAAAATATGTAAAAAAAAGAATACATAATTTAATTGTAAATTAAAACTGCCCTGGTAAATTTACAATCTCAATCTGGCCAAATATATGATAAACATAAAAAAAACCAAATTTTTTTGTGTATAAATAGACAGTAATAAAAAATAACATTACAATTATTTTATGAAATTTCTGCCAATAGTTTATCAGGGTCAACATTGTTCATTTAATGTAAAAATTGGAAGTTTTTTAATAAAAATGTTAACTATGACCCTTTCGCTTATTACCATTAAAATAAATGTGGTATATTTCATAACTTGATTATTAAATAAAAATATTTAAAAAATATAAGAACGTATACTCAAAATATCTAAAGTAAATTTTACACCATTTCTTAAAGGATCCAAATTAAGTATTATATGAAGTATTATTATTGAAGAATGATTCCTTTGATATGCCCTTTAGGTCTTACATTAAAACAAGCACTATTTTTCGAATAAATACAAAAATAATTATGAAACAGATCAGTGTTAAAAGTATTTTATAGCATTTGGATTTTTTTACTTAATGTTTGTCTTAATTTACATATTTTCAAATTGATCGACACGACGTTTAGTATTGCCCTTGCGAATTTCACGCAGTGTTTTATACTTATCGCGTCCTTGGCGTACATTCTCACGGTGAATCTTATCCATCGTCGTTTCTTTAGTTTCATCGCGCGATTGTGCAAGATCTTGTTTCAAAGCCTGAAAAATATATTTAAATTTATATTTTGATAATTTAAAAATAAAATAACAATAAAAAATAGATAAAAAAAAAAAGCAAGTAGAAACAATAAAATTATTTACCTTGAGTTGATCATGCAGACGTTCATTTCTTTCTGCAAGTGTACGACGCTCTTCAACTGGATCGATTATTGATTCATCAGTTGTTAAATCTTTAGTAGCATCATTGTGAGGTTGTTCATCCTCACCTTCATCTTCGCCATCTTCGTTCTCTTGGACATGGTGATGATAAGGAGTTGAATTTGCTTGGAATGCTCTATCTGCTTCTTCCTGACGTAATCTAAAGAATTTGATGACAATTTAAAATTATTTAGAAAAATTGAATAATTAAATATCGAAAATATCAAGTAATTATTTACAAATTACAAATATTCAATTCTGCATATTTTTTTATTTATATTTTTCGCTTGTATTCTATATAAAAATCAGGTGAGTTATCAAGCTCAATATATATACCTAGCAGCTTCAACTTCTTCTTGTAATCGTCTAGCCTCTGCATCTTTAACTTCGACTTCTAATTGGATTCGTGATACTTCTTCTCTCTTAGCTCGGATTTCCTGCTCTAATTTAACACGTTCAGCAGCTTCCATTTCTTGTGAACGTTCAAGTTTTTCCATCATAACAGTTAATTCCTATATAACAAAAATCACGTCATTAATTGTAGTCCTTTATCTAAAATTGATAAAACAAAAACATGAGATTAATTTACCTTTTGACGATCTTCTAACTCTTCTTTAGCAACTTGCAACTGTTTGAGTTGATCTTCCAAGCGTCTTATAATTTCTTGAGCCTCATTCAATTCAGCTTGCCGCCTATCCATTTCTTCAGACATACTTCTTAGTCTTTCTTCATACTCAAGTTGTTTTTTTTCTGCTCGTTCTCGGGCTGCTATTTCCAGTTGCAATTTCTCACGTTGTTGTTGTTTAGCAATTTTTTCATCTCGAGCTTGAGCCTGATTAAAATAATATAAATTTTTATTACAATATTGGCGTAGTATTTAAAACAATACATCACTCAACTCTATCGAAATTGTTTTTAAAATAATATTTAAAAAAGCTATCATAATAAAAAAAATTTTAATTTAATTTATTTTATCAATTATGAACATAATAAATTCAGTTAATAGGTTTTTAAAATATGATATGATACCTTCATTTGCTGTACATCAATAGTATCAGGTTTACGTCTACGCATGTAAAGTTCATGATTTCCCATACAGAGAACTAAAATTCTCTTGTTAATCTTTACTCTTGGTGCAAAAAAAACAAAGTCAGGTGCCTTTTTGTCAATGGGTTTAATAATGAATTTTCTCTCATTAAACGAAATATTTCTTATTTCAGACCAGGGAAAACCAATTTTCGGAGTCAATTTATCATCTTTTTCGTAGATGTTCAAGCCTAAAGCATCCACACCCAACCAAAGCTCAGTTCCTTTCTTGTTTCGAATCTCAAAGTAATTTACTCCATACATTTCTAAATCCTTAAAGTTGAAAAATATACAAATTAATGATTAATAATTAGAAAACTTCTAGATAGTTAGATTAAAATTGAATTACTTACTTGAGCGATTTTAAGATATTCCATCATAGCATCTTCGCGAAGCATTCCACGATGTTCTTGCCACCATGTAGTGATAGAACTTTCCCATTCTTCCTTACTCATCTTATGCTGATCCATAACTCGTTGAGGAAGAAGACGATCATTGGCAAGAAAACCGGGTATATGAATAACTTTTTGGAAGTCACCATGTCTGGCCTGAACTGCGTAAGAGGCTAGAAGCACAGATGTCTCAGGAGGACAATAGATTTCATCGGTAAGAATCGCATTCTTTACCTGAAAAATATTAAAAAAAAAAAAAAAAAAAAAAAAAAAAAAAAAAAAAACAATTTTTTTGAATACCTATAATGTTCTATTTCATAGTTTTATTTCAAATAAAAAAAAATTACTAAAATTTTTAAGAATAAATATAAAATAAACTTTATTTTATAAAAGTTGATAGGTCTTTAAAAATGATCTAAAATTCGTCTTCAACTATGACCAAAGTCTTAAGTTACCTTTTTTTTTTCATAATTAATATAACATAAAATTTACATTTCAAGATTACTTTGAAATGGCATAACAATTTATAAAGTTTTCTTACATCTTATTTACATTACAATGATTATGTTTCTACTGAATTAACGTTTTTACTTTTTATCTACATAAAAAGTTCCAGATTTTTTTTACATTAATTTGCTATGTCACTTTTATGTAACCATGTTACTTTGAAATGACGTAATCCTTGTTACCGTTATGATATGTAGTCTCCATACAACAAAATATGTACCGGTAAAGTAAAGTAATTATTTGTTTTATAATTGAAAACATGTCTACATACGAAGACTCAAAGAAACTGATGTCTTTTATAATCTATGCATTAATAAATTTATTTGAAAAAATTTGAAGGTCGTTTGTAACTTTGATGTTAGCTATCTCAAACTTTTTATATTTCAATTTTTCGAATAAAAATATATCTGAAAAGAATAAAACGTACGATACTTCTCAAATAATCTTAGATAACGAAAAGATGGGATTAAGAATGGCTGATTCAACATGGAAGATCTCTTACAGATCTTACATGTACTTCTTTCATGTTGAAAATTTCAGTATTGATAGCACGGTATAAGCTGCGATTGATATGAGAAAAAAGAATCGTAACATTATTCTAACAATAAATTATGATAGATAGTAAACAGTGATATTATTTATAGTTTTTGTGCATCCACAAATTTATTAATCATGTAACACATATTATGTCCCTAAGATGCCTCAATGATGTAACTTTAGCCTTAAATTTTGATTTATGAGAGACTATGTTAAATAATACGATATTTAAATTATATGACTGAAATGACATGTACGTCACATTGACATCACATTTACGTTCATTATGATACGTCGCAATATTACGTGAGCAAAAGTGGAGTTGCGAGTTACATGTGATCTACGAGTAACTTATATGCTACTTGAACTTCGGTACGATATGGATGACCGAACCATGTGGTAAAGAATGTGTGTAGTTCGCAAAGAATTATCTATGTTACTTTATAATATTAGGTTGCGTGGTGAGTATACTGAGATACTTCTTATGTACGGGCCTAAAACCTTCTGATTTTCAAAGTAATAGCCAAAAGGATTATTGTATCGTTGCCCTATTATGATTGTGGAATCCAAACTGATTCGAAGTAACACCCAACTTGATTAGCAAAGATTCTCTTAAATACTTTTGCTACACTGATAAAAATTTTAACTTGACTCAAGAGCAAAAGTCTTGAACCAAGAACACCAATTGGAAGAAAATGAATTTCTTGAGTCAAGAGGAAAAATTCTTGAGTCAAGATAATTTTCTTAATTCAAGAGAATCTATCTTGACTCAAGAATTTTTCCTCTTGACTCAAGAAATTCATTTTCTTCCAATTGGTGTTCTTGAGTCAAGTTAAAATTTCTATCGGTGACATCTATAGATGTCAAGGATTAATTTTTATAGTATCAGATATAATAATGATATAGGCAGTGTGACTTGGTTGAAGAGAATGGAAATAGTCTTCTAAATTTCAAAATAATCCGTTGCACACCGAGCCGAAGGCGAGGGTGGTAAGAACGCGAATTGGGATACCCGAGTTTTATTCCTGATGTAGATAAAACTTTTTACCATATTTATGACCGAAATTGGAAATTCATAGTATCCAAAAATCTGTTACATAGCGATTTTAAAAATAATTTAAAAAACTAAATAATTCAATTGTAAAAAAGCGTGGGTTTTTTAACTTAAAGTCAATTACTGCAAATATTTCATTAACAGATATAAGTAAAAGTAAAGTCATTATGAAAAGATCTTATAAAGCAACCCACGCTTTTTCACAATAAAATGAATTTTTTTGTTTATAACTCGACTCTTATTTTAAACTTATTGAAAAATATTTTCTACTTTTTAGTTTGATCTTCTAGTATCAGATGATTTGAGTTATCATCTGTCTTATTATTTTTATAAGTTATTATATTTAGATAAGCCTTTTTGTCTACGTGGGCTATTTACTGAAGATCTAGATGGTAGGCGCTTTGAAATATTAGCAACCGCGAAAAACAATGTAAGATACTTCAAGATACAAAACTATGCTGTCACTTACTACGAGTTCTCTTTTGTTCTTAATGCTATTTTCCTCTAGGAGGAGTTCCCAATACATATAATACAAATGCATCTAGTATTGAAATTTTCAACAATAAAAGTTATGATTATCTATTTAACTTCTACAATTTTTATCAATTACCAAAGTTATTCGTAAAAAAAACTACCTGTTATATTGGTTAATGTTTCTGTTAACTCTTAAATTTGCAAAGTATATATTCACAAAAGACTTAATGATAGTTAAGTCAATTAAACTTGCACCTATTTTTATTTACAGTTATTATGTTTTTCTATATTATAAGCTTTATTAAAAACATATATTTTTATTTGTCACGTATTTTTTGTTACTCGCGATTTGGTCATCGGGTCTTGGCATCAAATAACGCATCTATCTTTTGATCATAAAAAGTGCTAGCAGATTTTAGCTATGAAAAAGACAATTCCACTTTTAAACGAATGACGTGAGAAATTTTTTTTTGAGCTCTTTAATTATTTAATGAAGCAAATTCATTTAATGAATTGATAACCGAGTGTATAAAGCTTGTCAATAGATTATTTGAGTTCAAAGTATTTCGGTTAAGATTATTCAGATCAAATGATTTTGACACAGTGCTTAATAGGCCTGAATCATTGGTACTGAAATTGTGAAACGAAATTTGTTGTTCGTTTTTCTAAAGTATTTACTTGAATCTAACTTAATTTCATAGATAAGATAGTCATGAACTTTATAAAAGATGTCATTTAAAATAAGACTTAAAACTGGTAAAACTGAGAGAAACAGCAATTCAATAGTGACTGAGTTTATTAACGGCTTCTTCAAGTTATTTAGAGCAGATTCAGAGTAGGCGGCTATCTTATTTAGGTTGTAATGTTTTTGACATAAATAATACCTTTTCGTATTTGTACATAAGTACTTCATTTTTAATTATTTAGCTCTATTAGAACACAATAGCTTATAAACATTGAAAAGTAAAAATTCAATGAGTTGTCTAAAAACGTTGATAACTTATCTTTAATAGATTAATTTGGTGATATACATTCTACAACAGAAATGAACTTAAGAATCCCCGCAGCTTTAACTTTAGAAAGTATAAGTATTTAAGGTTCATTAATATTGACACTTGTATATATATTTGATTTGCGGATTCATTGTACCTGTTATTTTACGACGCCTCTTGTTTCTTTTATCATTCTTCAAATGATCTTAATTTTATAAATAATTGATATATTTTTATTACACTAAATTTAATGATCTTTATAACTAAAGCCATTGAAAAAAATCACAAGATTACTTACTTGAAGATAAAATAAGCGAAGTGTAATGTCTTGAATTATTTCTTCAGCAACATCTTCAGGATAAAATTTCGCACGGAACTTGAACTGCAGTGGGTTCTCTTTTTTAACTTCTTGGCTCATCACCTGAAAAAAAATTTGCTCGTTAATAAAAGTAAAAACAAAGATTGACGAGGTAAGACCAAAAAAGGCGTGATAATCAGGAAGGGGCAATTGGGATGTTTTATTTTTGGGCAGCAATATATTTCTTCTATCCTACCTAAAAAACTGATAATTTATAGCAAAATATGTACTTTCATCAAAAGAGACAATTAAAGGTTTAACTCATCAACTTCAATCTCCTATAGAAATAACAAGATAAAATTTTTTTTTCATTTCTAACATGATTTTCCGGTGTTAAAAGATAATTTCAATAAAAATTATAAAAACAGCCCTGTAGAGCATTACATTTTCTACAAAAAAAATTTGTGAAAATCAACTCGTTACTTTCAATAACTGACAACTTATCAGCTCAAAAATTCGATTTCATGCAAAATGAGCGTACACAGAAAAAAAAAATTTACTTGAATCAAGTAAATAATTTTGAAGAATTTTATCTTCTTTATTTGAGTAGAAAAATTCTTAAACTAAGAAATTTTTCTTGGTTTAAGTCAATTTTACTTGATTCAAGAATTTTTTGTCTTGATCCAAGACAATGAAACTCTTCAAAATTATTTTCTTGGTTTAAGAACTTTTCTCTTGATTCAAGTTAATTTTTATTTTTGTGTATTATCACATGTAATGACAAATTTTAAGAACACAGAGGTAAAAAATCAGCATGCGTGATTTAGACAAGATCAAGCCGTTTTGCTTGCCTTGAGCGTGAAGGCAAAGCCCAGCCTCGCCTGAAAATCAAGTTTCCGATTTCGTCGAATAAAATTGTATCTGAAATTCATAATATACATGTAAATAATATAAAAAAAAACTGTTATGAAAAAAATGATTAATGAACAGATTTATAACACTGCTAAATTGATTAATAATTATTTTTGTAAAACTGCTTTTGACGGTTCATCACTTTAACTGCTAGTTTTTTTTTTTTTTTAAATTAACCTTCTAGTGTGGCTACTGCAAAAAATTGTGTTGAAAATAGCAACACGGTATTATTTCACTTAATTACAATTAATACGTATCGGCTAGCAGTTATACACAATCTTTTATCAATTTATACAAGTGTTTATTTTTTCTTCCAACTCGTCATTATAATGTAAAACAGGTCCAATTTAGGTTATCGTTTTTTGAATCGACCATCAACATGAGATTCTGTTAAAATTAAAATAATATAGCTCCTCATACTATGATTATTTTAGACATGCCTATATGAATTTCTCAATGCAATATGTGATGAAAAATTTTTATATTTTAATACAAATAATTCTTACCCTAGATAAGAAGGAGAGTCCAGCCTTCCAAACGTTAGCATTTTAGTTGACATGCGTTAAAAATATAAAAAACAAAATAGATTGAATATTTTTTAGTATGAAGATATTAATAAAATGATATACTACGATCGTACTGTAATTACTTTGCACACCTCAAACATGAAATAATAAAGTGGTGATTTGTTATATTGTTGAAAAAATTTAACAACATTTGTGTAGTAAAAGTGATTAAATTTATAGTAAAATAAAGCATAATTGTATTAGAATTGAAGTAATGTTTCACAAATAACATTTATAATTCTTTAAAGGTGGTCCGACATACTGAAATGTACGAAGGTTTAAAAAGTAAACGCTTTTTATACACCAGTAAGTTATTGTCGACTTTAACTAACACCTTCATTTTCCAAAATACCGTGCACTTTTAGCCATTTTTTTGTGGCTAAACAAAAATTTGTAAAAAAAATTTAAACATATCCATGGATCTTCAGCAACAATATAACGATAGCGAAAGATCAACCAAATCGGAGTTATATCTTGCGAAAGCTGGTTACGTTAGTGTAGATTGCGCTCATTCTTATCCAAAAACCAGTATTAGATGTGGAAAGTCCTATATAGTACATGTGAGGCATTCGACGCTAATTCGAACAGTTTTAATTGTTTTAGACACTTTATCATTGATAATAATAGAGCAATTTCTTGAAAGTATAGCATGGTTTAATTGTATAACCAAAGAAATTTTATAATTCACCACGAATAAGGAACAATCTTATCAATAAGCACTACAAAATGTTAAAAAAAATTTAAGAAATTATTAAGTGCATTTTTTCAAATTGTTCGATTTGACGAGAAATAATTACTCATACATATTAAAATTTGATTCTTGACCATCATAACAGCTTTATTGAATTTCACCATTTTTCATCATTTTTTTATTAAATGTTTCACAACCTCATCAATCATAATGAGAGAATGAAAATTGAAAGTGCGAAAAATTTTGAAATGTAAAATATGATTATATTATATGTAAACAATAATTATTCACTTATTAAAGTTTTTTTGTAGTGATAAAAACTCATTTTATTTCTATACTTACTAGTATTAATGTAGATGATGATTTTGTTTTTAAATTAGTAAAAAGATAGGGTTATAGGAAATATTATAGGAAATATCGGTTCTGGCCACTTTACATGGAAAAACGTAATTCTAATTTTACATCGAGGTGATGCTATTTTTAGCTCAGTGGTATAGTAAGTGCTGTGCTTTAGTATAGTAAGTGTATGAGAAGTACTACGTGAGATACAAACTTAGAATCACCTTTTTTCCATCTAAAGCCGTTTTTGATCACTTTAAGTGAAAAATAATATCTATTCAAAAATATTATTTTAATAGAATTTTTAACCATTGGCATTCATACGAACCGAATTTAAGATGTCATAGCGTTTATAAAATTATTTATACAGCAATTTGGACATTGAATGGTCAAAAAAGCTACAGTGGCGACAAACGGTACTTCTATCCCGTTAACATTAAGAATTAACATGAGCGTTTGAGGCGTGCACTAATATGTCTTTGACACTTTCTCTATCCAACATTATGAGATGAGTAATAATTATAATATAATCGATTTTACTAACTATTACGACACTTAAATACTTTTTTAACGATTTCAAATAAATAATTAGAGATTACTTGTATGTCATTTTATCTATTCTTACCAACTCGCCATCATATTCATCATCATCTGTGTCCGAATCTGAATAACCTCTCAGCTTCCGTACTTTTCGTTTTACTTTTTTTTTTACCACCTTAGTAACAAATTTCTCCTGCTGCATGAAACGATAATAGATTCGAAAGTCTTTTTTGCAAAAAGAGGGCAATCATTAAAGGTTAAATGATACAAGCTTCAATTATATGAGCAACTGCTTTCAATGGAAATCGATACATATATTGTGTCAATTGATTTCATATACTTGAAAAATTTCAAACTAATCGATAAGAATGAATTTTAGAATTTGAAGTAATCTAGTATATTTAAAAGAGCACCATTCGGTCTCACCTGATATTGAAAAGTCAGTTTTAATAATAAAAATATATAAATATCAGGGTGGGCCAAAAAATACGACTATTTTTTTTTCTTTGGTTACTTTAAAAATATTGTTCAAGATTATGGAAAAAATTTTTAGTAAAGTTTGAGCTCTTAATATTAATATTGAGGTACTTATTTGCGATTTTCAATTTCCGATTTAAATAACACAGAAAAAATTTTTTTTTAGCTGAAATTTTTTTATGATTCAAAAAATTAGCATATCTTAAAAATTAATAAAAATCCTCTGGAAAATTAAACGATTTACAAAAAAAGGTCTAAAATGATTTTTCACCAAGACGACTGGTTTAAATTATTTAAAGGTAAAGTTCAATCTAAAATTATGTATGATGAGATGAATTCCACAAATTTTTCAGATCTATCTATTTTTGGCCTACCCTAGTATGTATAAAACTGTTATTCAAATTGTAAAACCGTAATTGGACCTCTACAAAAATAGTGAGAAAAATTGTATAGCTCACTGCTAAAATTTAAGATGGCACTAAGCTTTAAATTTATGAGGTAGTATTGCTTATTTTTGAACATGTTGATGGCAATTGTCGAAAGGGTAAACGTAAAAGAAGTTGCCGTATACCGCTTCTGAACAACCTGCTGCAACGTCACAGTTAATTCAGTATTATGTGTAGACACGCCGGTCCATACCCTCCATTACTTTCATTATTCCTATGACGGCGGGTGGTTCAAAAGGATATTGCCTCATAGTAGTTGTGGGTAGGTATCCATCTATAGTGGCTCTCTGAATTTTGAGCTTGACTTTGGTGTCAACTTTTTTTTTATTATATTTTTTGTGTTACGACTTGGTTGAAAAAAAAAAAAGAATCTTGGTTCCCTCTGATGGTAGGTAAATGCAAGCTTTATCAGAAGGATTTTTGTTTTTTTCTTTTAAATTATGTATGATATTGAAGACGGGACACTTGTTAATAGACAAAAATACCGAGTTTGTTCAATTTATGAAATACTTCTTGAGCTATTTTCAAGTTTCATAGAAAGAGGGTGAACCCAGTTTCATGCTAATGTGACGCACTTTTGAATGTTTCTTTCCTTTTAATTGGATAGATAAATGCGATAATATCGACAAACTTTTATAGAAAACCCATAAAATAAGTATCTTACTGAACTGTCTTAAATTTGTTTGACTTCGCAGTTTTGAAAAATAATTCATCATATTTATGATTAATAATGTTGTCGTAAAGGCATTCACGTATGAGGTTGACGATTTGAACCAAAATGATTTGAGAAGTCAGTTACCAGAATTGGTTCAGCCATGTCGACAATGAAAAAAATTTCCGGTGAAATATCGTAGCAGTCTAAAATTAAGATCATCTTCTTTTGAAATATTAGTATCAATAGTAGTGGTGTTCGAACAGAGTTGATAATTTAGGCGTATTTTTTTGAACTTTTAAAAGCACAAACGCTGATACAATCTTGATCACAATCGTGGTTGAACAAAACGCTCTGCTACGAAATAAATAATTAAAAATCTATCACGTAGCAGAGCGTTTTTTTCAAAATTCTCCTTGGTCTAGGAGAGAAATATAAATCTGCAATCGTAGGGACCGGCTGTTAACTAAAGCTGCGGTTTTTGCATTATCTGAAGCATATCCGATCGGTAGATTGAAGGATCTTCTTTTGTATATTAGTAGATTGTATCAATCACAGGAAGGATATAAGACGTATACACCTCCTCTCATGTTCTTCAATTTATAAGAGTAACCGTAGCTTTTTTTTAAAGGCGTGTAAAAAAATTGAGATGATGAAATTATGAAAGTTAATTTTAAATTTCAAATCAGAATACAAATTTTTTGAGTATTAGCCAAACATAAAGTCAGCTCACACGAGTGTATATCATTTATGTACATGAATCTGAAATAATTAAAGCATGTACATGAATCGGTACTGTGCTGCATCCAAAATCCGGACATGTTGACTATAGCTGAGCCTAACATCAATAACTGGAGTAAACGCACATATTCAAATACAACGTCGTAAAAATTAAAAATTTTGATTGCCAATGAGTTGAATCGCAATCACTGATTAACAAGATTTCATTAAAAAATGTATGAATTGTGCAAAAAACGATCAATTCCAATAAATATGAAATTAATTTCATCTGTTTTGTCGAAAAAAAAAATTAACATTTTAATAAACGATTATTTGCCATATTCGTAATGATAAATATTCAAGCTATTTACAATCGACGAATAATAAAATAAAATTAATTATAAAAAGTAATTAAATAAAACTAAATGATTCAACCACGCTCAATGTCAAATGTTTAATCTCAAAATAACATAATGTATCATAACATCTAAGAAAAAATTTTTTAACAGAAAATTTTCTGAAATTACATAAAATTTTTTTCAATAGATACTCCGTTTCCTCTATTTCCGTTTCCTTATATAATGTGAATATTATATGTTTAAATTTTGTTCTTGAGTAATTTGATTTTAATCAATTGACTGCTTAGATATTTTTTTTTAATAACAATAACCAGTAATTTTTGAAATGATTCATTTTCTTTTGATTGTATAAGCAGGTAATTGTTCGAAATTGGATAACTAATTACAAAACTGGATAAAAATTATCCGTACATCCCAAAGTCATCGATGTTCGCAGGATTACAATACTTGGATTTGAATGCAGCCCAACTCAACTCTGAGTAATGTCTTGAATACGACTAATTCATGTACTCACACGAACTATTTGAATTTAAATGCTAACTTGATTTTCCGTTAGCACTCAACTCAATCGTGTACACAAATAGTAACAAAATTATCAAATTTTTCTGTAATTAAGAATGAATTTTATTTTTCTAAAACCTTCTTTCATTAATTTAAATATGTATTTATATACACCCACAACAATTTAAATGTCATTGATAAGTCATAAAGATATTGATATCTTTAATAGCCTCTTTTTTTTTTTTTTTGTTACATCACTTTAAATAACAAAAAAATCTATTTTTATCAATGCAAACAAAAATTCAAATTATTTAAATATGTGTGAGGTTATACTGACTCTAATGAGAATGTTTACCCTAAAATGAGTAAGATATGAAATCGTTCAGGGTTAAATTTAAAAAAACTTTGATATGATAATAAAAAGAATTACTTGAAACAAAATTACATTTCATTTTTACATGTATTGATGTTTTTACATTCATCAATTCTCAAGCTTCGTTTATTTTAATACTTAGCATTATACGAAAATTGTAAAGAAAAAAAACTTTTCTCTACACACAACTTGATAACAATAAATAATCAATTATGTAAGTATCACGATAAGCCCATTACAAATCTTGTGATATGAAAAAAAATTTGCGGTAAATTCTGGAAAAAAAATCTTATTCACATAGTCACTGAAAGTAAGATGCAAATTGTAATAAATTTCAAAGATTATGCAATATTCTGCATCAATAAAATGTATCAACAAATATTATGCATATCGCTCAAAATTTTTGACAGATGTATAATTTTGCATTTTTCGATTATAAAAATTTAAAGAAAACAGGGAAAAATTAATAATATATTATTAATCTTCATTAGATAATCTATTTATAGTAAATGAATCTAATAATTTTTTTTATCGTTTACTATCTGTTGTAAATGAAAACGTATAGTGCAAGGACACTATAATTATATTGATCTACCAGCTGAGTCAGTTTTAATAATGAGTCGTCTCGAAATGATAGTCTCATGATAAAATATTCAATTATAAATTATTACGTGTAAGTTGGAAATATTATGTATTAAAAAAATTTATTTGCTTTACCTTTTTATAAAGTTTGATCCAAGTAAGGTCACCTTTGCTGTCAGTATACTGAAGTCCAAAAAACCACACTTCTCTTAGGCCAATGGTTTTTACAACTTGGTCAAAAAGCTGTTTTCCGGTAGTTGCCTGCTGGATAGCAAACTCCAGCTCGGCATCCATCGTCGTAACTCTCACATTCATCTTTGTTATCAACAATAGACAGCACATAGAACATAAAAAATTACAAAGTTAACAATAATAATTGTAAATCATTCATTATCTTAGTAAAATGATGAATACTCGGTACATAAGTTTTAAATTTATATCAAGAATAATTGTTTTCTACACCAATGAACAACAAAACTAACAATAATTTTTAGCTGACATGATGAATAACAAAAATTGTGTAAATATTATTTTAACTAAAAAAGTCTTCAAACGGTGTTAAACATTTTGTAACTTGAATTTTTTGGTATTTAAATATCTATTCAGTATTTGATAAATATTTGATAGAATTAATGTGCTTCGTTGAATATAAAGTAGTATAAAAAATATTAAAAAAATTTTATTTCATTATACTTTAAGGAAAAAGTACTTATATTGAAAGGAAAAAATCACAAGAGGAAAAAAAAAATATACTGATAATGAAGATAAATTTCAACATGTATTTCTTACCATTTTCGAACTAGAAACCATGGTTACTTGATTTGAATAATTTTACTTAGAATAAAATAGTTAAAAAAAAAGAAATAATTGAATGATACGAAATTTACAAGTACAAGTTGAAAAAAAAATTTTTTTTTTATATTGCTATTTTATTTATTCATCACTTTTTTCAAGTACCGCTTGACAAATTAACACACGTTTATCCAATAGTTTATATCATTTAAAAACACGTAACTGCAATATTACAACTACTGTTTGGATTAACAAGTACGACAGTTAAATATAAGCTGAACAATGGGCCAAAGGAGCAAGTGCGACTGGCGTCTCCTTGGAGTATTCCTCTCTTTCCGTTAATATGTCCCTCTTTCGCTCGACGCGTTGATATGTTTCGTACCGGGCGGTATTATGGCCAACCATCCAGCTGTTCTACTTCATTCTTTATTACTATACGTAAGAGGAAGAAAGATAACACAATGAGTCACGTGAACAAGCCGGTTCACACAAGGTTGCAGTTGAACTGTATACGATATATCTATCGGGTGATTCAAATTGACAATAACGATGTAATGGATTGTGTTTTATGCTTGAAATAAATAAATGTAAAAAAAAAAATATGCCTCTTGGGAATTGATTTTATTTTGTAGAATTTATGAAAAAGAAAAAGATTTAATTCACTTGTCATTAAAAAAAAAATAAGAACAATAATGATAATAATCGCATTATTGCCAAAAATGTGCTATTCGTTAAAATTTATAATCGGCGTTTGTACTAGTTAAAAAATGCTTGTTAAATTCGACGAACAGAATTCTGTGAAACAATCTTATCTTAACGTAATAGTTGGGCTTTATAACGTCTTATCTTGTATAGAGTTAAAAATGTCTTTAATTTAAAAAGATGAGAAAATATAGAAAATTAAAAAAAGAACTCAAAATAGATTCTTTGATATATGAAAAATTATGTATTTATGTATAATTGAAAAACTTGCAAGGAAAATGATTAAAATAGATACATCAAAATATCGTCTGTCATCATAAGTGTTGGATACCCTTATTTTAATATAAATAATTGTTCTTATGAAATAATACAACGAAGTTCCGTAAAGTATTATGTATACGTATTTCTTCGGGATTGTTAGTATCGATTTTTATCGACCGAATAAGTGAATTTCAGTTCCTAGTATCATGAACATCTCTTATACTTCATCTAGTTTTATTTGTCTATTACAGTAAAAAAAATAAAATAAAATAAAAATACATATTTACAAGCCGCTAGTATAGGTTTTGAAGAATTTAATTCTATTTTCATTAAATTTCAAAAGCTAAACGATAATGCCATCGTTCGAATACAAAGTTTCGAAATCGTTCTTTATTTGTTCGGGGAAATAAAGATTAAATTGGCAATAATCAAATTAGATGAAATCAAATCTAATCATATATTTTTTGGCAGGTCCATATTGACTTTGGTTAGTTATATTTATCCGTAAAATGGTTTTAATAAAAAATAAAAAGAAACGCCTTTCAGCCGCGCCCGTCATGGAAAGGTAGATTTCTTAATTGATTTCAGACGGAAAAGAAGATCTATTATATTTCAAGAACTTCGTTGATGGCTGATTTATGAATTTGAGATCTACTGATTAAATTAATTTTTATTTCATTTTAATTGAACTAACTTTAATTATTTATGAATAAATTATAAGATCACCCTTAGAATCAATAACTTTAAATTGCTGAATGGTGTTAGTAAAAAGAAGATATAATATCATGCATTGTTCATTCTACTATTAATAATTGCAAATCTCTTCCGTATATATCGTCGACCGCAATTTTTGGAACGCCATAAAATTATACTAAAACACATTAGCTGATGTTTCCAAAAACATCGATTAGTTGTTTGAACCGCTTAAGAATAAGGCATCTAAAAATGAAGTAACTAACAATATCGAAACATTTCAAGTACCAAATTCGAGAAAAAAAATTTTATTTTTAAAAACGATTAATCTCTCAAACCATCTAATGCCTAAAATTTCAGTCTTAAAAATCTGCTCAGACTCAATATAAGATCAAGATCACAGGATAACCAGTGACCGTCTCCAGGTAGAAGCTAAGCATCATCATTTATAGTCCAAGGCGTTTTACCAACCAACGATTGTGCCTACGTCAACATGTGAGATGAGATCATCGGGGTCGGTGAATTTATGCATTCTGTTACAGAGTTAAGTACCGTGTATCTTGGAATAATAAATGGATAATTAGCAACAACGATTTTAACCAAAAATTTTTTTCAAAATTTTGTTGATAACAGTTTTTAGTTAAAAAATTTTTCATTACTTATTGCGGTCTTAATGATTTTCGAAAAATGTTATAGACAAAACGGGATACCTCATAGTTTTAATCATGTAGAGAATGTCAATAAATTCTTCAGTATTTAAGTGGGGTCAACGATACATCAACATTCAGATAACTTATCAAGAATTAATTTGAGTTTAATTACAACTTAATTTATTGAGTGATACGCTCGATTAACAGATTTTTGAACATTTCAATTATAAACAACTCTGACCCTCAATATTCTTCAATAAAATATTGTAAGCACGATTTCTTAAATAATATCATTAATAAAGTTAATATTTTTTTTCTATTAAATTTGTGTTTGTATTCAAAGAAGCTTTATGAAAAGCAAGCAAATAAATAAGTAGAAAAATTTATAATATGCGTAGTTCTTATTACCATCGCAGAAGCTCTAGCGATTTAGAATTTTCTTATATTTTGTTCAAATACTCTCAGTTTATAATTTACTTCAAAATAATTTTTACTATTGAATGTTAATTTCTTTAATTGAACAGCGAAAAAATAATACAATAAAATAAAACATATCACCTATACAATATAAGAAACTCATATTCTGGAAAACATCAATACAATAAGCGAGTTAGAGAATTATTGTGAGACTTACCGATTTTGGCATCTTGACAAAAAGTTAAGTTACTCCTTAGTTTTGAATCATACAGTCTGTAACGAACAAAAAAAGGTATATAGTTAATATTTTAGTACTTGACTGATATTTTAATCATCAAAAATAAAAAAAAAAATAAAAATTTCAACATCACTTAAAATAAAATGTAACTTTGAATTTTTCTTTATTTTTTTAGAAATTTGTACATGCACCATATTCGACCTGAAATGGAAAATATGATCTGATGTGGGTATTAATTAAAATAAATATCTAGATTTAATATAAATCATAAATTTTTATGGAATCATTTTCTCCTATGAGTTTACAGATAGAAAAAAAAAATTAGCATTGAAATACTGCATCTTTAAACATTAAAAAAACATATGGAAAAATAATAATCAATAAACTTCTCAATAATGTCAGATCTGATTGTTTCGTTTTCCAACTATCATTTAATGAAGTTTTTGTATACATTTAAAAATGCTACATATATTTTAAGAATAACTTTAAAATATTAATTTTCGTATCAGTATAAAGAATCTTCCTCATTATTTTGGGTGGGGCTAGACAAGAATTTTCATTCATTTTTAATGATTAAGAATGATATCTATTTTGATAAGACTTTTGAAATTCTAGATATTTGACCGTGCTACATAAAATTGATGTATGCATACAAAAATTTTTATTCAATATATAGAACCTATATTACTTTAAATTACGAAAATGCTAGATCAAGCAATATAATTTAAAAATTAGCAAAAATGAAATAGATTCATACTTTTCTTGAGTATAATGAAACTCCATGAACATGTAGAGACATTATTATTATGAACTCATTAAAAATTTCATAGAAAAATGTTATTTTTATTTCCCTGACAGCGTTAAGTAAAATCATATAAAATTGTTATAAAATTAGAAAATTACAAATTTTCCCCCGAATAACCCTTATTTATCTAATTACTGTTGATAAAATAGCTCTCAGAATGAACCTGAATTCCGGTTTTCGGGCTTTTATTTAACCTTTTTACCTCTAGCGTAACTAGAAAAATAATATTCCAAATAAATGTTAAAAAATTCAAATTTGTAACTTCTATGAATAAACTATATATAATTCTTATCCATTTTGTACATTATTTCGATAAATTAAACTTTCAGTTCTATTCTGATGACCTACATTGTCACATTAATTCCTGTTCAAATGTAGACTATTTCAGTGACAACTGATTATTCTGTTTATTTATTTAGATAATTAAACCAACAGAATGATAATAACTTATGAAGCAATAATTAGTCATCATTTATATTCAACAAGAATAAGAAAAATAAAAAAAAAAACATAAAAACTAACGTATCACATATGATTTACAAAAAATACAGCATGTAAAAAATATATGCAGGCAAAAAAAAATGCATGCACATATATAATAAATAAACAATGATATTAATATAATAACCAATAACATAGTAAAATTATAATATCAGTAATTTATTAATGAACGTGACCCAAATTATGAATTGTAACTTGTAGCATATCAATCAACCTTAAATTTCACGAGTTATCTGCTATTAACCCAATATTGAAATCTTAATTAAAGATTTGAAAAGCCTCACCTTTTATTTTTATTTTAAAAAAATACGTTTTGGACACTTATTAATCAACAGATGGGCGGGGTAACACTTTATACTAACCACTTTGAGTAATAAAATATACAAACTTCAAGCAAAAAAATTAAATACAATATACCTATTAGTAATGACACCTCACTAGAAATATGGCCGCCAAGACACGCCGCAGTTATTCCCTTTTTCTTTTTCTTTGACGTCACTACGTGGGTGTTCCTAGTATCCCTTGAAGGATGCCACCACTTGCCTATAAATATGTATATTTTATTCAATTTAATAATTATTCTACAAATTTGAGTCGGGGCTTGTCTAATTTATCGTCGAAAAAAAGTAACCTTAACAGCATATCTCTCAAATCCTTACTAGCGGATTCAATTCATGCCGCAGAAATCGGAGGATTAGAAATAGTTCATGTACATTCACAAGCCAAAGTTTCAATTGAGTTAAAAGGAAAAACTGCTGAAGGAGTAGATGATCCTGTAACAACGGCTGATTATAGATCACATTGTGTTATGAACAATTATTTAACATCCTCATACCCTTCAGTTACTGTTATTTCTGAAGAACAATCTAAAGAATGCGATGATTTAGTGATAAAAAATCAAAAAGATTTTACCGATAGATTAAAGAATATTGATATTGAGACTGATATCACAATTAATGCTAAAGATATTACAGTCTGGATTGATCCGTTAGATGCGACTAAAGAATTTACTGGTAATTTGATTAAGTAACTTTCAAATGAACCAAAAAAAAAAAATTCTCAATTAATTGGTAATTTATTTCAAATTGATTTTTTCTCTTAGAAAACTTGATAGAGTATGTTACTACCATGGTCTGTATTGCTGTCAAAGGGGTCCCTGTGATTGGAGTAATTCATAAACCATTTGAACCTAAACAAACTTATTGGGCATGGGGTTACCATGGATTATCTAAAAATTTACAAACAGTAAAAGTAAGATTATTATCAGGAAGTGATTATTATGATGAGAAAATAAAAAACTGATTTTTATTGTAAATTGTAAAAAATGATTTGAGTATACTCTGATCAATATTTATATTTTTCTTCCTAGCGAAAGTCGAATAAAAACATGATAATCGTTTCAAGATCTCATGCTGGAAAAGTTCATAATATTTCCAGGGCAGTATTAGGCGAAGATGTGATCATAGTTTCAGCGGCTGGTGCAGGATATAAATCTCTTGAAGTAGCAGTAGGAAATGCTTCAGCTTATATTCATATGACAGCTATAAAAAAATGGGACGTCTGTGCAGGAGCAGCTATTATTAAGTATGGAATTCAATGAAGGTTACTTTTTTCAAAATTACTACTAAATATTTCATGTTTTCTAAACCGATTGCATTGATTTGATTTTTTAAGTGCTCTGGGTGGAACTATTACATCATTGTCTGGTGAACCGATGGTGGATTTTAGATCGACTGATTCACTGATCTTCAATCATGGTCTCTTAGCAGCAATGACAGATCATGTCTGGTACCTGAATAAATTCTATAAAACTTGAGTATTGTATATTGACAAGATTAAGTAATTAATTTGTAATATTGAAAAGTATACAAAATTTACTGATATTACGAAATGATTTGATAAATACGTATACGATCATCCCAATCATAGAAGGCAACATCTGTTCGTCAATCCAAAAAATTTGGTAGGTCCACACCGCGTGGACATATTAAAACTTTTCTGTGTATGAACAGTCATACAAGTTACTAAGACAGGAGAAAAAACAATTTCTCTGCTCGAATAATTTTTCTTGAACCAAAAAACGAGCTAAATCAATTGAATTATAAATTATAACTATCATTACTGTCATTTTTTTGGGGAGATTTACGAAAATTTTTATTTCTTGTAATTACACCGGCACACAATAAAAAAAAAGTTGTTTGTACATTTGACCAAACCCACCTACAGACATGTTTTTCGATCCGCTGAATCCGAATTTGAAGTCCGTTTGGCCCGGTCACTCTCCAGATTTAAGTAAAATGCAAAAAAACCGGAAAAAAATTGCGAAAAACAGCAGTCACAGCGAATGAATTCGCAATTTTGAAAAAATTGCGAAAAACCGGCAAAAATTGCAATAAATCATGAAAAATCGAACTTATCAAGATGAAAAAAATTTTTTGGATTTGAATTGAATATGATTTTCATCTATTTTGTTCCACTGAGTTTGAACCTGAAGTTTTTTTGCCCTATTAACGTTTCAAAATTGTAAAAAATCAAGTAAGTTGAGAAAATTGCAGTTATAAATATGAGAAAAAATCTATTAGACACGATTGTTAATGACTTGGGTGTATTTTCATGGATGTAATATGATCTTAGAATTTAAAAATTGACAAAATTTAAAAATCTGTAAAAAATAGCATGTAAAGAGAACGTACAAAACCATATTTTCGAATTTCAGACTGTCGTTCGTTTGTATCGAACTCTTTTATCTTCAAATGACGTACGGGGTGGGTTCCTTTCACGTTTTCGGTGGTATACTGTTCGAATGTTAAAGGATTGGTTGATGAATTAAAATAAAACACTTATGAGGATGATCATAAATGGATACTTTTTACTGATTCATCGAAAAGAAATCTTCAAGCGGTTTTGCTCCATGACGGGAACACTTTTGCACCAATTCCAATAGCTTATTCGACCAAATTAGATGATAGTTATAAAAATTCACAGATCGTATTAGACAAAATAAAGTATTCAGAACATCAATGGAAAGTTTCCGGAGATCTGAAAATTGCAACAATTCTTTTAGGTCAACAATCAGATTTTACAAAATATCCTTGCTTTTCATTTCATAGGATAGCAGGGACAGAAAAAATAACTATATTAAGAAAGAATGGCCAACAAGAGAAATATTAAATCCAGGTTCTCACAATGTCATACGGTAATCATTGATTGATCCCTCTAAATATTTGCTACCACCATCGCATATCAAGTTGGGTCTTATAAAACAGTTCGACAAAGCTCTTGACAAAGATGGTGATTGTTTTCACTATTTAGGAGAAAATTTTCCAATGATAAGTGATGCAAAGTTTAAAAAGGGAATTTTTGATTGACCCCAAATTAGGACTTGATTAAATGACCAGAATTTTGTTGAAAAAATGAGCGAAACCCTGCTCAAAAATATTGATTGAAAAGAATTAAAAATTATGAAATTTGAATTCTTTTCAATAATTTCAATTCTTTTGTTTGTATATATATAGATATACAGTTTGCATGGAGTGACCATTTCTCAATTCGTTTTAATCAGTATTCTTAACCAGGGAATTGAGAGAGCAGCTTGAGTAAATTCTAAAAATGTTTAACAGAATTTTTTGGAAAATATTAAAAACGAGAGTTATGAGACTTTAATTGAAGAGTTGCTAACAAACTACTAAAATTTGGGTTGCTTGATAAATCTTAAATTACACTATTTGCATTCTCACTTTGATCACTTTCCTAAAAATCTTGGAGACTATAGCGAAGGACAACGAAAACCATTTCATCAAGACATAAGTGAAATGAAGGGTAGGTATCAAGTAAATTAGAATGTCAACATGATGGCAAACTTACTGGATGACAAGAAAAGAAATACTAGAAGAAAATAGAAAACGTAAAAGGAACCCACTGCGTAGGTCATTTAAAGATAAAAGAGTTCGATAGAAACGAACGACAGTCTGAAATTCGAAAATGTAGTATCGTACCTTCTCCTTACATGCTATTTTTTACAGATTTTTAAATTTTGTCAATTTTTCAACTCTAAGATCATATCACATCCATGTAAATACACCCAAGTCATTAACAATCGTATTTAATAGATTTTTTCTCATATTTATAACTGCAATTTTCCCAATTTCTTTGATTTTTTGAAATTTTGAAACGTTAATGGAGCAAAAAAACTTCAGATTCAAATTCAGTGGAACAAAATATATAAAAATCATGCTCAATCCGAATCCAAAAAATGTTTTTCATCTCGATAATTTCAATTTTTCATAATTTTTTGTAATTTTTTAAAATTTTGACTTCTCAACGGGCTAATTAACGTTCAGATTCAGATTCAGTGAATTGAAATACATAAAAATCATACTTGATCCGGGTCCACAAAAATTTTTTCATCGCTGTGACTGTAGTTTTTCGCAATTTTTTTCGGTTTTTTGCATTTCACTCAAATGTCGAGGTCGATCGGGCCAAACAGACTTCAAATTCGGATTCAGCGGGTCGAAATACATGTCCTTAGGTGGGTCCGGTCATATATACACAAACAACTTTTTTTTTTTGTGTGCCGGTGTTATTATTAAACTTTATTTTAATTGAATGTTATTATTTATTATGTTCTTGAATTTAAAATTGTGTAAATATAATAACAATTGTAAATAAATGAATTAATAAAATTAAAAAATTAATTATAAAGTTATATGAATAATAAAAATAACTAGCTGTTACCCGCCCGCTCCGCTGGGCGTTTTATACAATTGTTTTTTTAGATCTAGGCCTGTACCTTCTATCCATGTGATTATTTTAGCAAATGTTCATTTTAACTTTCAATGTGCAATCATTATAACATTCCCGTGGCTTTCTTACAAAAATGAATAATAATTTTCGAAGAAAGAAATTTGAAATATTGAAAGTTTCAGTTAAAGTAATTGCAAGTCTCATTAATGAAATTGAAATCTAAGTACCTAGCTTCAAGTGCGACGAATTTTTCTGTTAATTAAAATTTTCTCCGTGACATCAATTTATTTATTTATTTATTTATTTCTTTATTGCAAAAGAACGCCGATCGGCAATATACACTTATGGTAACAATCATATATTTTTAAGTGAAATTTGAATTTAACATAAAAGATAAATATAGATATAGATAATGACAATGGTGATATTGCACATGAATTAGTTATTCAATATCGTATATTTGATCCTTGTTATGAAAGCAGATAATGAATCCCGAAAGAAGTTAGTATCCTGACAGTATTCGTTGACTAGATTGGCGATCCTGTTCCTTGGACCATGGTATACATAGCTTTGTATTGTCTTGGTAGCGTCCAACAATCTATGTTGTCTTAAGCCTGGCCTTGGACGGATAATTTGAAATTATTCACGTATCTCTAGTGATTCCATATGTCCGTTGACGAATTTATAGAAGAATATTAAATCCGAACAAAAACAGTTTCACTGTAAAAAAATTGCGCCAAGTCCACGTTCATAAAACTCATCTCAATAACATTTGCACTTTACAAAAAAAATTAGGCTCGTTTTAATAATTTTCATTCTCTACAAAAAGTTGTGAAATACAAAAAAATACCAAGAAACCGTCATAATGTTGAAAAAATTGAAAAAAAATTTGTTGAAAATTAAAAAATTAAAAAAAAAATTTTTTATCGTACTTGGCGCGCGTCATTGAGTACCCCAAATTTTTTCAGGATAAATGAACATCTTTTTAATGTTGAGAAATTTATAAGTAAGTGAACATATATTATTTGATAATAAGTTTTACAAAAGTTAGGTAAAATCGACATGTCATACGCAGTTATGCAAACTACATACAATTCGATACGCATGCACACGATGGGTCGGTTGAATTGAGAATTGTATTTATAAACTAAAAAATAAAA